TACCCTGGGGGAGGGTTCAGGCTCCCTTGGTCTCGCTGTACCCCACCTTTAAACACTGATAGGACTTCAAAAGACTCCAGTTTGACAGTACTTCCCTCGACATCTAGCAACACTGACAACCACTCTGAGTGACAGTGGAAGAATTTTTTAGTCTGTTTTCTCCTGGGTTCCCACTTCTCCGCCGAGACACTCCAATTTCTGTCTGACTTCTCCGTGCTAATTATAATTCTGCATCCTAATTCCCTATGACCCTGGGCCCAGAGGGCCCCGGTCAGTGGTGATCTGTGTATCCACTTTGGTCGGGTTCCAGCACACTGAGCTGGACACTTGGGAATCTGCCCTGAGTCATCTCAACATGGATTGCTCTAACCGCTACTCAGTATTGCCTACGGGCTTGAGGACACCCTGAACCACTAAGGGGATTGATCCTATCTTACCCTCCTCATGACAGGCCCAAGGGCTTGAGACCTCCCTGAACCGCTAAGGGGTGGCCCTCCCTAAACCCCACTCTCAAAATGTCCGTGGGCTTAAGGCCACCCTAAACTGCTAATGGGTGGCTCCCCTTACCCCCCACCCCCCACTCATGACAGGCCTGCGGGCTTGAACCACCCAAAATTGGTAAGGGGTGGCCCTCCGTAAATGCCCCTTCTCACAATGCCAGCAGGCTTGAGGCCTCCCTGAACTGCTAAGGGGTTTCCCTCCCTTACCCCCACTCAGGAAAGGCCCAAGGGCTTGAGGCCACTGCAGTCGCTAAGGGGTAGCCCTCCAATCCCTCCTCCAAAATCGCCCATGGGGTTGAGGCCACCCCAAACTGCTAAGGGGTGGCCCTACCTAACCACCACTCTCAAAATGCACGTGGGCTTGAGGCCACCCCGAACCACTATGGGGTGGCCTTTCCTTACTCCCACACAAAAGGCCTGTGGGCTTGAGGCCACCCAGAACTGCTAATAGGTAGCCCACCCATACCCCCACACAAAAGGCCTGTGGACTTGACACCACCACAAATCACTAAAGGGTGGCCCTCCCTAAATGCCCCCGCAGAAATGCCTGTAGGCTTGAGACCAACCTGAACCGCTAAGGAGTGGCCCACCCTTACCCCGACACAAATGGCCCATTGTCTTGTGGCCACCCCTAATTGCTAAGGGGTGGCCCACCTAATGGATCCCTTTCAAATGCCCACAGGCTTCAAGCTACACATAACTGCTTGGGAGGCCCTCCCTCACGAAAGGCCTGTGGGTTGGTGGCCACCCTGAAGCGGCTAAGGGGTGGCACTCTCTTCTCCCCACAGAAAAGGCCTGCAGGCAATGGCAACCCCAAGTCGTAAGACATGGCCCTCCTTAAATGCCCGATCAAAAATGCCTCTGGACTCGAGGCCACCCCAAACCGCTAAGGAGTAGTGTTGGGGACCAGCCCCAACAAACAGCAAAGCAGGGTCTTTGAAGGCGGGAACTGGTGTGGCCAGCGGAGATTTTCAGGGGCAATAGAAGTGGGAGTGAGGAAAACACGAGGTCAGTCTAGGTGTACGTGTCTCCTGTCCTGAGGGGGACACATCACCATGTGCCGCATCAGAGCAGGAATGAAGGAGGCATACATCAGCCGGCTGGCCCAGGACAAAGAGGAGAGGAAGGTAGTGGGGCGCCGGCACTTCTGTGGGTGCAGAGAGGGGGTCGCCTGCCATTCTGAGTGTGTCTCCTTCCAGGTGAAGCTCTTAGAGCTGCAGCTGCTGAAGGAGCGGAGTGAATGGCAGGCAAAGTACCAAGCAGCTAACGAGAACCCTGCTGCCGAGCCCGCTGGTGCCCCCCCCCGCCCCCAGGGAGCTTGGCGCTGCCAAAGGGCAAGGTGAGCAGGGCCCAGAGCAGAGGGCTGGGAGGGCGAGCTCGCCCCTCCCGGCACTCAGCATCCTGTTTCTGTCTCTCCGAAGACGGCTGACCCAGGGAGATGCCCGGCTGGCCAAGAGGCTCCTGAGAACCCCACTGAGCAGGTGGACATCGAGTTGCTCCCCCAAGCACACACGTGGGAATAGGGAGTCTTTACTAAGAGCCCAGCATCTCCTCCTTTTTTGGGCCAAAAAAGGAGGGAAAGATCCTTGTGGTCTAGGCCACCGGCGGTCCCGGGGCTCGGCCCCCACCCGCCCTCGCCAACCCACCCCTGTTCCCCAGCTTCCCACCCAGCCCCGACTCCTTCCTCCTTTCCTTTCATCTGTCCCCACCCTCTCAGTAGGGAACAGCCTCCAGGTGGGGGCTGTGTCTTACTCTCTGGGGGATCGTACCAGAGGCGAGGAGCTAGAAACGTCACTACAGGGGCTCGTTGACGACCAACCTAATCCTCACCAGGCCTTCTGGCAGAGGGCCTCAGTTGTACTCAGGCAGTTTGGGGCAGCGTGACCCCACCGCCACCCCAACCGTGTGGAGCGGGCAGCACCTGGAGGGCCCTGCACAGAGGCAAAGTCCAGACAACGTAAACAGCTGGCGGGGGGAGGCACCAACACCTGTCCAGGCTGTAGCCACAGACAACAGTGGCTCATTTCAGGACACAAAGGCCCATGGACTTGAGGCCACCCCGAACCGCAAAGGGGTGTCCCTACTCGTGGAGAGACTTGGAGACGATAGACTCATCTGGATTGCAAGCTTTGCTCCAGGGTAGCTTTTCACCCAACAGAGCTTAGCCTCAGCACCCCTCCCTTGAAGAGCACCAGAGAGCGCTTCTGATGAGGTGTGAGGCCGGGGCAGAGGCCCTCATGCCTGTGTCCACCCCGTCTGTGGATGCAGATCTGGGAGAAGCCTCTGTGGCGGGCTGGGAGCAAGCAGCAGCAGCAGTGGTCTCTCACTCTGCTGCTCCCAGCACTAGACAGTTGTGACAGTTGCTCCTCAGCAACCGCCTTTGAACTCAGACCTCCCTGATGAAGGAGAGGACCAATCAGGTGACAGCTGTGAGCTGATTGGCGCTCCACGGTCCCCTCAGCACAGGATGGAAAAGTGGCTCAGGCCTGCCCGGTGGCCCCAGGGTCACGGCCCAGCACCGTCATGGTCACCGCTACTAGCTGAGCTCGACCACCGGCCAGGGAGCGGACCCCTGTGGAGCTCAGACCTCCCCTTCTCCCTCCCGCTCCCTCAGCCGTGTGTTGAGGTAGATGCCCGCTCTGTCTCTGGTGAATCCTCTCAGCCCTGCACCTCTGGCCTGTCCTGCAGTTCTCGTGTGCAAAAAAAGAACGAAGAACGGTCCGAGCAACCTTGTGATCGGGCACCCTGAGGAGGCTACAAACCAGGGTGAGCAGGAGCTGAGCAAGCATGGCCAGCTCCAGCTCCTGAGGGGAATGAAGCCCACAGAAGCCAAATATCTGAGGGGGCAGAGAGGGCAGAGACCTGTGTGTAGACGGGGCCTCCGGTCCTGTGTGTGACAGCCCCGAAAGGCACCTCCAAGGGTCCGGGCCTCACGTCTGAAAGGGCTGTTTGCTATTGGTGGTGTCCCCCAACTCTAAAGAGCTGTTGACTGGCTACTGGGCTGCTTCCACGGCCTGCGGTTGGGTGAGCCCCTCTGACTGCCCCGGACAGAAACTGGACATGAGCTGGAGGAAGAGGAGGAGGAGACCAGCGGTGAGCAGGTAGGCGGGCCTCGGGGCAGGGGCGCAGGGCTGAGGCTTGGGAGGCCTGCTGCCCAGCCCGCTGGGGCCCCCCCAGCACCCAGGGAGCTTGGCGCTGCCAAAGGGCAAGGTGAGCAGGGCCCAGAGCAGAGGGCTGGGAGAGCGAGCTCGCCCCTCCCGGCACTCAGCACCCTGCTTCGGTCTCTCCAAAGAACTTATGCTGACCCAGGGAGATGCCCGGCTGGCCGAAGGACCCCCTGAGAACCCCACTGAGCTGGTGGACATTGAGCTGCTCCCCCAAGTGCAAACATGGGAATCCCACGGGGGTCTTTATCAAGCGCCTTCACATCCACTCCTTTTTCAGGACAAGAAAGGAGGTAAAGATCCTTGTGGTGTCACCGGCCTGGTCTGGGGGCTCTGCCCCCACCCAGCCCTCGCCAACCCACCCCTGTTCCCCAGACTTTCCCACCAGTCCCAACTCCTTCCTCCTTTGCTTTGATTTATCACCACCCTCTTAGTAGGGAACACTGCGCCCCAGCCTCCAGGTGGGGCTATAGATTATTCTCTGGGCACCTGAGGAGACCCTGATCCCCAAGGCATTGGCCCTCCCATACCCCCACACACAAGTCCCACGGGCTGAGACCACCCCTAAATGCTAAGGGGTGACCCTCCCTTTCCCCCACGCTAAAGGCTCGCAGGCTGATGCCACCCCAAAATGCTAAGGGGTGGCCCTCCCACAACCCCCCCACACAAAAGGCCCAGGGGCTGAGGCCACCCCTAAATGCTAAGGGTTAGCCCTCCCTTAACCCCACACTAAATGCCTGCGGGCTGAGGCCACCCCTAAACACTAAGGGGTGGCCCTCCCATACCTCCACACAATAGGCCCGCGGGCTTGAGGCCACCCTGAACCAGTAAGGGGTGGCCCTCCTTCAACTACCTCAAAAATGCCTGCGGGCTTCACAGAAGAGGTGCTGGATTTGCAAAGCTAATGCTAACCTCTCCCCATCCTCACAGCTCTGTGATTATACTACCTCCACATACCATGAGCATAAAGCTCTGAGCTCTCCATTAAAAAAATAATAAGAAATAACATAAAATAAAATGCATGTCACACAGTATAAATTCTTAACCATTTTCAAGCACACCATTTCATTATACCCCTAAACGTGAACAGTACTGTAAACCAATGTCACCTCAATCGACGTCAATTAAAATAGTAAAAATGCCAGCGGGCTCAAGGAGACACAAAGTGCTAAGTGGTGGCCCTCCTGTACCCCAACACAAAGGCCTGCTGGCTTCGGGCCACCCCGAAACGCTGTGGGGTGGCCCACTCTCACCAGCTCAGAAGGCCCGCCGACTTCACGCCATCCCAAATCGCTAAGTGGCGGTCCTCCCTCACCCCCTCACGACAGGCCTGCAGCTTGAGGCCACCCCGAACCACTGAGAGGCCCTCCCTGACCCCCACTCACAAATGCCCACGGACTTGAGGCCACCTCGAATCACTAAAGATTTGCCCTCCCTGACCCCCTGCAAAATACCCACGGGCTTGAGGCCACCCGAAATCGCCACGAGGTGGCCTCTCCTTGCTCTTTACTACGGCCCCGTGGGCTTTGCTTCTGTACCTGATGACTTTGGAGGCCCCTCTGCAGAGGGTCATCATTTTTCTCCTCTTATAAAGTCCCCACAGGGGATGCACATGGCCTGTTCAGGCCATTTGGGGGCACACGTTGCCCCCAACCGTGTGGAAAACTGGGCTTTGCTCAGAAGCCAGGCGACGCGGAGCGCCAGCGGTGCGCCTGCTGGGACCTGTGTGTCGGGGCTGGGACAGCCCCTGCGAGTGGAGGCTGAGGTGGCCACCGGATGAGGTTTCTGTTAATTATTTGACACAGAGAAAGTTATTTATTGATATCACAGGACAGAGGAAGGAGGCAGGACAGGACGTGGCTCCTGGTGTTGGCTTTTATTTCTGAATAAACTGAAATCGCCACTTTTCTGGGACCTGTGCATCCGGGAATGGGGTCTGGGCTGCAGGCGCTGCGCAGGGCATGGGTCCGGCCAGCAGAGGGCAGGCTTCCGGGTCGCCAGGCTGCCCTGCCCTGAGCCTGCCCAACACGGCTCAGCTCTGGGGGCCTGAGCAGCGCCAGCCGCCTGGGGAGGGCCCCCTGGCCCTGATGACCAAGACTCAGAAACCTCATGTCATGCTGTGGAGGCAAAGCAGGGGGCCGGCACCCCAGGGGGCCGAGTCCTGGCTCCCCGCCTAGGCGTTTCTACGCTGCCCCCTGCCCCTGGGGGCTCCCCCCTTCCCCCTCGGGATCTGTCCTCTGGGCTGACTCGGTGCTCCATCCCCAGGTGGCCACCGCAGGGTTCAATGAAGACCAGCTAACGTCCAGGTGCTTTCCAGGGCAGCCTCAGAAAGACTGGGGCCTCCCCAGCCAACCCTGCGCCCTGTTTAAACTTCCCTGCCCCCTGAACTCAGACCAGCCAGTGCACGACACGTTCCCCATTGCTCAGAGATGGGTTTTATTCTCAGCCAGGAGACAGCAAGACAGGAGCGGCCAGGGCACGCAGCTGCTCGGGGGAAGGGGCGGCAAGGGGGCGCGGGCTGGCTGTCCACTGGCTGGGGCGACGGGGAGGCTCGCCGGAGGTGGCGCGCATTGGCGGGGCAGTCGGGGTGACAGCGCCTCCTGGTAGTCGGGCCACAGGACTCCTGAAGGACAGCGCGGCGGCTCCCGGCACCAGGGGCTGGCGTGGCTGCGCACACGTCTGTGTGCGTGTGCACGCGCGCAGGTATTTATAGGACAGGGCAGGAGCGATGCCACGGAGGGACACAAGTGTCACCAAGGTCACGCCTGGATGAGTGAGCTCACCACTACAACAGACTAAGGTCACAGAGGGGAGGCTTGGGGCTGGGGAGCCACGGTCACAGAGCAGCCGTCCAGGCGGGCTTGGGAAGAGAGGTCTCCGAGGAAGAGGGGCCTGCTTAGAGGTCGAAGGGGGGCCTGGGGCTCTCAGGACGGGATGGACTTGCCTGACCCGATCGGCTGGCAGTTGGAGAGAAAGCAGAGAGGAAACGGGAGAGAAGAAAAGGCGGGAGATGGTAAGGCTTGTGCAGCCAGGGCTGAGCGCTGCAGGGGAGGTGGGGAGGGCGTGGGCAGGGTTCGGGTGTGGGAGAGGAGTCGGGAGAGCAGGGGGTGGAGGATCGCAGGGAGCCCTGTCCCTGCACGCACGCACGCTGGCCTCACACACCCAGACAGTGCACCCACGCTGCACACATGTCCTCGGCCCCTCCGGCTGCCCTCCTCTCTGGCCCCATCTTTCACCCCACTGGCCCAGGGCCACCCTTAGCCTCGGGAGTGGGGGGCCGTCGGCCCCTCACCACGGCACCGTTCTGCTGGCGGAAGAACTCTGAACCGGAGAGTGGAGCAGAAAGGATGGCTGGAGGGCGCACTGGGGGTGCCCTGGGGCGGGCGGAGAGCCCGGGAGTCCTCTCTGGGGTGGGGCCCTGGGGTGGCAGGGAGGGCAGGCAGCCGGACGCCAGCGGCCACAGGCTCATAAGTCTAAGAGGGGAGCCTCAGCTGGCCGGGGGACCGCAGGTCGCGTAGGTGAGGCTGGGCCCTTCCTGCTGGGAAAAGCAGAAGAGCAAGTGTCAGCGTCGGGCCGGGGCGGGTCCGTGGGGCGAGTCTACTGCCCAGCTGGGGCAGAACTCGGAGGAGCCGACCTGCCTAGGTCAGCGGACACGGAGGCCCCTTGACTGAAAGGGGCGGTCCCCCAAGGAGTAACAGGCCCAGGTCCATGGCCTGCAGGTGATAACGGGACTTCACCCTGGGCACAGAGGCTGCTCGGTCTGCACTGGCGGCACAGCAGTGCCAGGGAGGGTGGCAGTGCCTTCGCGGTGCGCTGCCTGGTCGGCAAGGTGGCCCTGGGCCCAGGGTGTGGCTGGGACTCTGCGGCTTTCCAAAACCTTGCAGCAACCCAAGCCTTCCCCAACGGCCACTCGCCTGCCACCACGGGGTGGGTTCTGACCTCTGCCCCGTGGTGGATCCGGTTCCAGGGCTACAGCGGCGCCCCCAGGGGCACGGGGCAGCACTCGCAGGATGCATTTCCAAGGCCTCTGGCATTGACTCCGGCCCCCACGCAACCCCCTCCGACCTCCTTGCCCCACACCTTCAACCAGACACCCTCTGCCAGCTCCAGAGCGCACCCTGGTCTGCCAGCTTGGGCGCGGAGCCTGGCCTCAGGGCTCTCCAGGCTCAGCCTGGAGGTCTTAGGCAGCGGCGCTGAGTCCCGGGGCTCGCTGAGAAGGGAGGTGAGAGCCAGCTGGTAGAGAGGACAGAATAAGTCTGGAGCTGCAAGAGGAGGGGGCGGGGGTGGCGGTTCCTGGCCCTGAGGTCCCACTGTGCCCCCAGTTGGAGCTGGTGCAGCAGGGGCAGACACACTGATCATGCGGCAGGTGGAGAGGCGTGTACCTACCGTGCTGACGCTCCTCAGGGGTCACTGATAGTGATTCTGAAAGACAGCACGAAATCAACATGGCACTTCACACGCACGGACGGGGCAGGCCTGGGGGCGCGCTCACGCACACGCCCGCGTGCGCGCACATGCCGGGAGGCCCCTCGGCCCCGCATGCACACGCTGACACACATGCGCAGTCACGCACACGTCTCCCCACCACGCGGCGGCACCCGGCTGGCGGGCTCGTGCAGCGCGGGTCTGAGGCATGCAGCCCGTGGGCACAGGGAAGCACGCGTGGCTGAGTCACGACACAGAAGCTCGCCCACACACGGAGGCGTTGCACCAGCTCCCTGTACACTTGTGCCACCACGCTCAGAGGCCACCTGCGCAGCTCCAGGAGGGGCAGGTCTTGCCTTCTAAGGTCCATCTGTTAATTTTTTTTCTGCTCCAGAACCTTCTGTGGCTCCCTGCTGCTTGAGGCAGTGCTCTCAACAAGTCAAAGTCTCCTGAGGACTTTGAAGTTCTCCAGTCTTCTTATGCTTATTCTTCCTCATTCTATCTGCACGGTGCTCTGGCCAGTGGCGCTTCTCAGTGCATCCCGCACTGCCTCACTTCCTGGCCCACCCCTCGCGCACCTGAGCCTCATCTCCATCAGCTCCCAGGCTCACGGAAACCCAGCTGGGCTGAAGCTCACCCAGGTGGCCTCTTCCCGGAGGCAGGGTGGCGATACGCTCAGTGTTCCCCACATGTCAGCAAGGCCGGATTTCAAGCGCGTACCAACCTCACAGTGCCCATATTCACACCTCAGCACAGACCTGGGCATGTCAAATACCCTTAAGAACTTGGACTCATGCTGGAAGTTAGGCAAGAGTTCCTTAGCCGCCTCGGCCGTGAATGAGCCCCCCGGTAGCCACTGCCTCCCTTGGTCAGTACTCCAAGCCGGGGAGAAAGGCAGAATGTTATCACTGGGTAAAGGGAAACTGAGGCTCTGGAAGTGAGAGTGACTCGCTCCAAGGTCAGGAACAGGAAGCTTTGGACGTTAGTCCAGTGCTCTTGACCAAAACCACACTGCCTGCTTTTCCCCATCTGCTTAGGTGAGCAGGCCACCACAGTGCAACCCTCACCTCACCTCTGGTGTTTTGTTGTTGGGATTTTTTCTGGGGTGGGGGTGGGGGTGTCACTGATGCCAGACCCAGGGTTCTACCCTCCAGCCATCTGGAATCATGAACCCATTCATCTTGAAGCAGATCGGAGGCAGTGTTCTTGAAGGAGCACCACCGCTCAAGAAGGCAATGCCAGAGCGGAGGAGAGCCCTGTCTCCTGGGAACCTCTTCACCCACACTTGCGTTCGTCCCAGCCGTGAGGGTCCAGGCTAGGTCTGGCCAGAGGCCGAGGGAAGGAAAAACGTGTCTGCCCCAGTTCTGTGAGCCCTTTCGCATCTGCTCCACATCCTACGCCACGCCTGGGTGCCACACTTACACTCACATTCGTGTGCACGCCCACACACACATCGCACACCTCGCTGGCCACACAGTCACAGCTTGGCTCTGCTTCTCTGGGCTGGAGGCCGACACCCCAGGGGACAGCTCTAGAGCCAGGACTGGGAAGTGGGAGTGACGGGTGGCCCTGAGTGTACATGACCTCCAGTCTGGAGAGGATCTGGGTTCGGACCCTCAGACCTGAGGTAGGGTCACCGGCTGGGAGAGAGAAGTAGAGGATAAGAAAGGGGGAAAGTCAGAGAAATGCAATGTGGTCGGCAGCGAAGAGTGAAGGAGGAGGGAAGCGCCATGCAAGTGCTGGAGAGAAGGGGGCCGGTGGGAGGATCCCCACTGCCCCCTCTCCTGAAAGGACCACCTCCGGGACTCAGCTGGCCGGCAGGCTCCACCCAGTGGTTCCAGCACCCACTGTCCGAGAGCCCAGGCTGGAGAGGCGGCTCTGGCAGCCAGGGTCGATGTTCCGATGTCCGGCCCACCTCCCTCCCGGACACCCCCGCCTTGGGGTCTCTCCCGCCAATTTCTGCCCCTACTCACCTGGGCACCCCCGGTGGGGCACGGTTGGGGCGCGAGGGCACCTGGGGGGGAGGACCAAATGGGTCAGGGGAAGCCCCCGGCCTGGAGGGCACGGGGGGTGCCCCCCCCAGGGCGGACCCAGCAGGCGGAGGCCCAGGAGCAGGGCCCCGCGACCCTGGCCGGGCTGGGGGCACGGCGGGGGCCCGGCGCTGCGGCGTGGGGCTGGACGTGGGCGACCTGCGGACGACAGAATGGAAAACCGGGAGGCGGGGGATAAGCGGCTCTGCTCCAGCCTGAGGCCCCGCCCCCAGCCAGGTGCGGCCACGCCCATGCACGCAAGCCCCGCCCCAGGTGATAGCTGGAGCTTAAGCCCCGCCCCACGGCTCCAAAGTCCGAGCTCCACCCCGCTCCGCAGCCAGCGCTCCACGGCAAGCCCCACCCCGCGAAAGCCCCGCCCCTCTCTAAGCTCCGCCCCTCGCTCCAGGTGGGAGCCACCCCGGTGACGCGGGCGCGCCACTGCCCGGTCCCGGCCCTCCTCCCGCGGGCCCCGGGTTGGGGGGCTTTGGGGCCGTGGGGGCCGGCCCTGGTACCTGCGTCCAGCCGGTACGCTCTGCACCTGCAGCCAGGAGTCGTCCACGGGCGGGGGCATGGGCGTGCTGACGGTGGTCGTGTTGATGTCACCGATGATGCTGAGCGCCTCCTTCAGTGCGTGGTACATGCGCAGCATCTCATCGCGCCGCTGCGCCTGCTCCGCCGACTCTTCCATCAGCGTGTTCTGGTCCCCGCACGAGTACAGGTTGGCCAGCAGCTCCGAGAAGATGAACTCCTTTGTCTGCAGGCGGGAGAAGCATGGGGGCTGGGACACGGAAGCCTGGGAACCTGGGTGTCGGCACCACCCACTAAACTCTGAGGTTCCACCACCATCCCCTCTTGCCCTTTTCTCATGTGGGACCACTGAGGTCCAGAGAGGAAATGTTGGCAGGGTCACAGATCTGGGCGGACCCTCATGGGCCATCTGTCATACAACCAGGACACCTGCTCTCTGAGCCTGTTTCCTCAGAGGTAAAGTGGGCTAGTCACGCCTCTCCCCGGCACTACAGACTGGGCTGGACCGAAACACGGACGATGACGATCTCAAGTGTTCAGAGTCCTCAAGCTTAGCTGTGGGCTGGGCGAGGGAGTCTTGGGTGCAGGCCTGGGTTGATGTTCTCCTGAAAATCCCTGGTGTTACCTGCTCCAGACTTGCACATTTATGGAGAGGTGCTGAGCTTTTACGGCCACGGACCTGTCATTTATTCCTTATTCAAACTCAAGCGTCTGGCCGGCATGTGCTACATGCCGGCCACTGTTTCTGCCCACTGTTTATTCATTTAGTCCTCAACTCTATTCTTACACATGTAAGGAAGCAGAGGCTCAGAGGGCGCAATTCCTTTCTGCAGCATCACACAGAATTTGTGCCAAGTCAGGACTCAAGCCCCATTCTAATTCCCTAAGAGCTGCGTTCTGGCACCGAGCCATGGGTTGTAGAGGTTCCAAAACATCTCAAAAGGTGGGTTCCTGACCCTTTCTGTTTCCATGTAAGTATGTTTGGAACAACTTGGGGATGTCAGTCTCCTTTTTCAACTATAAACTTCCTGAGCTGTAAATACAGATGAAGTATTTCCAATGAAAAAGGAAGTGCCTGGACTGGGAAAAAAAAATGTAAAAGCTATCTTGTGAATAATATTTAGATTAATTACATGTTGAGAGATGCGTTTGGGGTTAAATAAATGTATTATTCAAGTTAATTTTGTTGCTTTTTTGCTTCTCCTAACACGACTACTAGAAACTGTAAAGGAATATAGAAAGTTCACAGCCCACTGCATTTCTGTTGGGCCCACAGAGCTGGTCCCGGCCTCCCCCAGGCCGACCTGGCCGCCTGCCCCCCACGAGGCAGCACTCACATTGTTGATCATGAGGTGCATGATGGTCTTAGGCATGAGGTCCCGCACAGTCTTGTTGACGATGGCCATGTACGAGTCGACCAGGTTCCGGATGGTCTCCACCTGCCGCTCCAGTTGGGGGTCCATGGAGTGCATGAAGCTGTCTGACCCATTCTCCTCGGTCTCGCTGGCCTATCATGGGGAAGAGGCCACCAGGGTAGCTGGGCGTACGCAGCCAGGGTCCAGGTACCCCCAGAGTCTCAGCCCCTCCAGGGTGCCTGGGACAGAGGCACAGAAAGCAGCAGCTGGTGCGAACACAGACATCCGCACCCCCACCCTCTGCTGCGCCACCCCAGTGTCTCTGGGGCAGCAGGCCCGAGTTCATCCTTAGCTTGGCTCTCAGTCTCCTGCCTACAACTTCAGTTTTCTGGCCCACCAACCAGGAAAGGACACCTTCAAGGTCCCTTCCTGATTCTGAGGGCCTGGCCTGAGTTGGGCCAGGCTGGAGTTGGGCCTGGTGGAGGGTAAGGGCGGGGTACACTCACTTTCTCCTTGTCCTGGGGCCACACCAAAGCCACAGAGGTCACCACGTCAGCGATGTCGCCAGGAAGCATAGCCGAAGCAGACACAGAGAGAGGAAAAGGGGAGCGATTGAGTGAAGCGAGGGCCCCCACTCTAGACGTGTAAAGAGGGGAGCAGGGAGAAGACAGTCACGTGCAAACACCGGCAAGTGGGGGGGTGCAGGAGATGCCATCTGTGGCAGAGAAAGGGACACGGGAAGATGGGGAGAAGATTTCACTCAGATCCCACCCCAGGGACAGGGCGGGAGCAGGTCAGGGCTTAGAAACGGCCCCTTCCCTCCCCGCCCTGCCACTCACCCCCACGCGCTCAGGGTACACGCCAGCCCTCAGGAAGGAGGCCTTCCAGCTGTCCACCTCCTCCTGGGTCTCGCAGGCCAGCTCCAGCTGCCGATAATCCTTGTAGACGTTCCTGCGAGATGGGACCAGTGGTGAGGGGAGACGGGGGAGGCTGGGGAGTGGGGGGACAGTTCTGGCTTTCTCACCCCCAGCAGGCTGCCCTCAACAAGTAGTCCCTTCTCTCCAAGCCTCAGTTTCCTCATCTGGAGGATGGGCTAACAAGTCCTGCCTCCAGGGGTCATGGTGAGGACTCAGTGAAATGAGGCGTAAAGTGCTCCATCAGAAACTGGCCGAGCTGAAGCGGCTTCTGTGGGACACCCTCAGACTCCCATCCTGGCTCTCTGGGGCTCCCCTGAAGGTGGCTGTCGGAGAAGCCAGAGTTAGCCCTGGCTACTGGGGCCTCACCCCAGGACGCTGAGGTGGGGGACAGACCCCACGGAGGCTCTGTGCCCCAGGGGCACCCAACAAGTGACTGGAAGGTGGGAGAAGAGAGAGGGAGCGAGGAAGAGAGAAAAGGGTGGTGGGAGGAGAGGGAGGCAGGAGGGAAGGGACAGAGGACACGGAGAGGTTCTGGCCCAAAGTCTGGCTGAGCAGAAACTCAGCATGCGCCTTGCTCGGGCACGGGCAGAGCCCTGCTTTCTAGACCTATGTGCCTGGCATCAGGAGGGGCGGGCGGCACCTCTGCTCTGTGTTAAAGAGGGCGAAGATGTGCTTGCTGGACATGAAGCCCTTCTCCACGTCTCGCAGCTTCAGGTTGTCCACCGACAGCATGTACTTCTTCTCCTTCTCCTGCGGGCGAAGGTGGGGCGGCGTGAGGCGGGCGCGGCTCCGCCATGTCACCTCACTAGGGCGCTGCCGGTGAAGCGGGGGCCAGCCCGCACAGGTGCTGTCTGTGCAGAGCCCGGCCTGCTGACGGCCGGTGCCCCGTGGCATCAGGCCGCCCCCCCGGCTCTGCCATGGTGCCAGCGCTCAAGAGCCCAGGGTGGCCGGGCCGAGGGTGGCTTCCACATCTCGCTCCGGCCGGTCCTGGCCGCAGGCCAGGCCGGCCCCAGCCAGGGACCACACACACCAGCCTCCCTCGCCCTGGGCCTGGCTGCCGGGCCGGCTCTGGATAAGCCTCTGACTTCATTTCCTGACTGTAGAGACGGCGAAGGGGGGCTGCCAGCCCTGGCAGCTTCAAAGGGCGGGCTCGGCCCTCTTCCCCAGCCCCCAGCGTGGTAGTGCTCAGACACGCACACAGGCCTGGAGACGGCGTCTGTGTGTGCGACCTGTGCGCCAGTGTCTGCGGCAGGGGCCGGCCTGAGCGCGTCTCCCACGGCCGGCGCTCGCCCCCCACGGCCGTGTCCCCCGCCACGGCCTGCGCACGGTGTCGGCGGCACACCGACGTGTGTGCACGTGAGTCTGAGAGGCACCAGCTGAGCGCGGGCAAGTCTGTGTGCCGGGAGGGCGGCTCACGCCTCTGCAGATGCAGGTGGCGGCTGTGGGTGCTGCCGTGTTCGCAGGACCGTGGGGCGCACCCGCGGGGTCACATTCTCCGGCACGGACACATGCTCCCGTACATGTCGGCGTGGCCTGGAGGGTCTGTGTGCCTCTGGCATGGCGGGTGGGGGCTCGGCCCGTGTGTGTGTCTGGTGCGGGCCCCGTGTCTGCAGCTGCGTGTCTGGGAAGGACTCGGGGACCTGGGGTGGGGGGGCGGGGTTCGGCTGCATGTACCCTACATCCCCACCCAACCCCACAGAACCCGGATGGCCGGGGTGGGGGGGGTCTGTGTGGGTCTCAGGCACTTGGGACTTGGGCGTCAGTCTAGACCAGGATCTCAGGTGGGGGCTGGATTTGGGGGGACCCTGCTTCCCAGTCTTGGCATCATCCTGCCCACCTCCTGCTGCCCCCAGCACCCGCCGGGCCCAGCCCTTCACATAAAGCCCTCTTTATGCCAGGCGGGTGGCCAGGAGCCCCGAGGGTGGCGGGGGAGGAGAAGAGGAAGTTGTACACACGGCCAAAGAACATCTGGAACCGTTCGAGGGAGGCCCCGCCACCGCCCGCCCTGCGCTTTGGGGTTGGACACTAGGTAGGAGCGGCCTCCTCTCCCCACCCCTCCCTTCCTGCCGGCCTGCCCCCTCCCCGGGCCCCTCCTCCCCAGCCACAGCTCCTGCTCACCCCTGCCACGTCAAAGAGGCAGAAGGGGAGTCGGGAGCAGAGAGGGGACCACGGGCTGTCCGGGCTGGGGCCGAGGGGACACTGGGACGGGGGCTGGGGGGCCTTGGATCTTCAGGAGATGGGGTGAAGCGCCCCCCCGATGGACAGACACTGCCGCCTGGATGGAGCAGAGGACACGTCCACTCCGTCTACCCAGTGTTTAGACTATCTGTTCAGGACTCCCAAATTGTACAGTAGTCTGCACATTGGTTAGGCTGGGCTGGGTTAGACCCTCGGCGCCGCTGGAGAGACGGACGACCCTGCCTGCCGCCCTAGAATCGGGGCCGGAGCCAGGGCCGGGGCGGGGGTGAGGGGCACTGGCTGGGAGGAGGAGCGAGGGTGGGGGTGCCAACCTGCTGTGGCATGGGGTGCGGGCGGCTGCTGATGGGTGGCACAGGGACTGACAAGATGGGGGGTCCACAAGGACTGGGGCTGTGGGTATCTGCCTGCCTGCCCGCGGGGCCTCCCTGTGCCAAGACCAGAGGTCTGGCGGTCGGGCGGAGAAGGAGGACAGGTCACCCTCCCCCATCCAGGACCACTTCTACGTCTCCATCGGTCCTAGTGCAAAAACCTGCTCACCGCCGACACACACACACCCTCACCTCGTATTTGACTGAGGCCTTTGTTTGGGGGACCACTGGCTCCCAAAGCTTGCGCAGGCCTCAGGCCAACCCCCGCCAAGAGTCAGGCGGGGAGTCAGGGAAGGGACAGCCTTGGCGTACCCCACAACTCAGGCACATACATTCCCACACACAAGCCCGAAACCTCAGATCCGTGCCCCGAACACACACGCACATTTTAAGGGTGAGCACACGCGTGCACGCAGGCGCACACACACACCGTGGGCCCAGCCCTGTCCCACCTCACAGTCCGCATCCACACAGCTCTCCGACATTCCACGTGTACCCCCTCAAGCCCGCTGCCCTCACATGCACATGCTCCCACGGGCACACACCCCGAGTCGCCCCTCGGCACACACAGTCTGCTCCCAGGGGCACGTGGAGGCCCACAGATTGCAAACACACCTAGATGCTCGCACCTAGGAAAGCTCCCTCCCCTCCTCCACACCGCTGCACGCACTGTGGAACCCCCATGCACACACAAGACTCCACAAGAGACCCCCCAGGCACAAGGACGGGGACCCCTCTCAGGTGGCCCCCAGTGGATCAGGTCCTCAGCCCCAGGGCACCCTTCATGTCCCCACCTCTGGGAGGAGCCCCAACACAGCCCATGGGGGGGCGGCTGGGGAGCCAGCCCGGGCAATAAAGCAGGACCCGACACCCCTACCCAGCCACCTCGCACGCCACCCTTCCAGGGGCCCCCCAGCTCAGGGAGAGGCCAGGGTTGGGGTAATGAGGTCCAGATGGCTTGGCGCCCCCGCCAGTGACGACAGAGGCCCGCCCAAGGAGGGGGGGGCCTTGTCCGCAGGGACTTGGAGGGGACAGGGACCAAGGAGGGGTCTTGAAGACCAAAATCTGAGACCCCCCCAAGCCCTGCTCCCCTGTTGAGGGTGCCCTATTGTACACAGTCCCCTCAGGAAGAAGAGGGCCCTTCCCCCACTCCTGGGCCAGCTGGAGTTCATTACAAGGAGCCCCCCCCTCCGCCCCCAGCCCTCCGTTCTCTCTGGTCACCTCTGGAATCCAGATGTGGAAGCCAAATAGACTCATTCTTAAAGGAGACCAGCAGCAAAGGAGGGTGGTGGCTACGGGGTTCGGGGCACCCCAGTGGGCGGGCGGGGATTCCAGTGGTACCGCTGCAGTGCCTGTCACTCCTTGCCCCCAGCTCGGAGGCACTGTGGGCCTCTCCTTTGGACTGGGGGGGGCTGAGGGACTGGGGTGCAGGGGTTAAACAGGGTGTCTGGCAGCCGCACTCGTGTGTGTCATGGGCCTGTGGGGGCCACGGAGGAGGCGGCACGCCCTGGAGCAGGAAAACAGGAAGGCGCTGCAGGACGTGGTGGGGTCAAGGAGGGCCAGCCAGCACCCTGCCCACCCTCTCAGGGTGCTTGGCCCCAGTGCCCCAGTCCTGCCGAGCCCCCTCCCTCCAGCCTGGCTGTGCCCCCGTCACCTCACATCCCACCTCCACCCAAGGGTCCCTGACGGACTTGTTTCTTTCAGCCCCTGCCGGCAGTCTGGCGCACCCCCGGGCCACGGGCCCCTGCAGTGACCAGCGGCCCTCACTCACCTCGTCATCCTTGTACCAGGACAGGTTCTCAGCGGTCAGCACAAACCAGTACTCCTTGGAGCCCCCCTTCATGATGCCAATGTTGTTGATGGTCAGCCAGCCCTTGCGGATGACCTGGAGGGCGAGGGGCGGGGGTCAGGGAGGACGGGGCAGGCGGACAGGCACGCCACAGGCCAGCCCTCCCCCACTCTTGAGCCAGGCCGTCGGGGACTGGGGGGGGGGCCAGGCTGGCCCTGCTTTGGCCCACAAGTGCCCGGCGTGAACACAGAGGCGCGGCTCAACGTTCCGAAAGCCACCTGCGGGGCCCGGCGACCTCATGCGGGCAGCTCCTCGCCACGAAACACCGCGCCCGGAGACTCGGCGGTGACTGGGCGAGACAGCCGGGGTGTCCTTTCAGCTTCAGATCCAGTTTTATTCCGAGACTTGTTTCTGACCTCAGAGCTGCTGCTCGTGCCTGTCCCTGCCTAGAAAGCACTTCCTTCCTGTGTGCTTGGCGGATTCCTACTCACCCTCGGGCGTGAGCTCGGGAGTCACATCCTCAGGCCTTCCCTGGTCCCCAGTGTGAGTGCCAACCCTGCTAGCACCTTGCATCACCTCCGGTGAGCCCGGAGGGCGCGAGATCACCTGTCCACTCAGCCTCTGCTATCCGCTGACCTCTCACTCATGCCTTCACCCGCACCTGCTGCGTGCTTGGTGGACAGTAAGCCATCCACACAGCCTCGTGAGCTCACAAAGGCTGAGAGCAGGCTTCTAAGAGCACGTGGCCCAGGCCCAGGCCCAGGGGTGGAGTGGCGGGGTGGGGTGGGGGCGCCCATGAAATGGCCAGGCCCCTTCTTCCCGAGAAGCTTGAGCAACAGGCAAAGGCTGCTTTTCCAGAATACCGTCCCTCAGAAAGGCCTTGAGCCTGTGCCATAGCCTGGCCCCCTTGGACGGGACTCCGCGGGTAAGGCCAGTGCCCTGGTGCCCGGGTTGTGAGGATGAAGGGTTGTTTCTGCTTCCTCCCCTGGCCCGGAACTCATGAGCGTACAGAGAAGACCTGTGGAGACGGGCTGGTGGGAAAGTCCTCGGGCTGGTCTGAGGCGCTAAAGCCCTCCTGCAGTCTCTGGCTCCCTGAGGGCCTTTCGGAGAAAGGCGTCCACACAGCAGACAGGGGCTGAGCAGTTGCCTTCGCCATCAACAGGTCCCAGAGCCTGGTGCCCCGTGCTCACCCTCCCACCCCGTCCCGGCCAGGGAGGAGGCCCTAAGAGTCTTGTTGCTGTTTTTGCAATTAAGACCAAACCTCCCCTCTAGCTCTCCATGTCCCGAGACCCAAACACCAGAGCTCACCTGGCCCCTGACCCGACTTGTAGCCTTTGTCTTCCCTCGGCCACCCCTCTGCCCTCCTCCCCGCTCACCCAACTCCCTCCAGATCCCCTGGGCACTGGGGGTTTCTGTCCCCCCAACTCCCACACTGCCAGGGCCCTACCTGCAGGGATATATCACCCGAGGATCTCAGTCATTCATTCTTTTATTTTATTACTATGTGCCAGGCTGTAGGCTGGGGCTGAGAATTTACTGACGAACAAGATAAACTCAGCACTTTTCCTCAGGGGTTTGGCAGGGAAAGGGATATGAAGTCAGTAGTCACACAAACAACTAGATCATTGCAAAGCAACCTTGGGCTCTGGTTGCCGCTCACGTGTCACCTGGGCCTGAGAAAGAGCTGCTGAGGAGCGGCACTTCAGCAGTGGTCTGAGGACAGAGCCGGAGGACACACAACACGTGTCCCTGGACCTCTCATTCACCCTTTATTGGGCTCTGGCACTGACAACCGTCAACTTGTAAACATGTCCATCCACCCATCCATCCATCCATCCATCCACCCATCCACCCATCCATCCACCCATCCATCCATCCATCCATC